GTGTGTGTGTGTGTGTGTGTGTGTGTGTCTGTGTATCTGTGTGTGTGTCTGTGTGTGTGTGTGTGTCTGTGTACCTGTGTGTGTGTTGTCATATTCACTATACACTCAAAAAAAGCATGACTGTACCGAACAGATTTCATCGGACTTTCACCGTGTGTGTGTGTGTGTGTGTGTGTGTGTGTGTGTGTGTGTGTGTGTGTGTGTGTGTGTGTTGAGTCCTACAGCCGCTACCCCTCCATCGTTGTTGTGTGCGCTGTAGGGAATCTATCTACCATCTTCACCTGAATAGAACCTACGGTCATTAGCTGTATCTAGACTGAAAGTCAACCCGAATACAGCTAAACTTGACCATGCACTTCATTTCACTCGGGAGAAGGCAGTACCCGAAATGCCTCTCTCAAATGTTGCAACATACATTTACAGGACGCTTGTGCAGATCAGTTTAATATCTGGGAGAAAAAGGTTGAACAAAAAAAAAAAAAAAGGCGCTCCCCAGAATGGAAATGGAGCCAGGGCCGTAAGGACCTGTTCAAAAAAACAAAAAAAACATACCTGCAACTAGTCGGAATTGAGACTCGACTTAGAGATAACAGGATAGGTAGTGCGAGGCATATGAGTAAATGACCCTGGTAGTCCATGCCATAAACGATGAGTGTTGGTCCTTGGTCTACGCCCGGTGGTTTTTGGAGGCGATTCGATGAGGGACCTAGCTAACGCGTTAAACACTCCGCCTGGGGAGTACGGTCGCAAGGCTGAAACTCAAAGGAATTGACGGGGGCCTGCACAAGCGGTGGAGCACGTGGCTTAATTCGGTATAGCTTAGTTAAGAAAATAAATAAATAAAAAAATAAAAAAAAGGGAAAAAAAAGGACCCTTGGGCAGATCGTCTCGCTTTCTGTTTCCTCTGATGCAACGTGATCAACTCACTTGCAGCAAGCAGCAGGTACCTGCACTGCCTAGGTTCATTGCACCTGATATACCTACAGACTCTGAACCTAGCGTCTTCCCCCGAACATAACGCACCCTGATCATGAATGTATAGAAGCTATCTTTCCAGTCCGGCCTGCACAACCACTGTGGACGCTTCCAGGCAAACCAATTTGCTCGAAAATCCGTACTGGCCCTGTTAACAAATTCCATGACCGCAAATTGAAAAAAAAAAAAAAAAAAAAAAAAAATCCCTGACCATTATCTACCCCCAAAATATCTCTTCTGCTAAATTTCCATCCTGTCCCTGGTTGTACCCCTGTCTGCACTTGTTTCTGTCCGAGGCACAGGCACACATCACAGCCAACGAATTTAGCACAAGGATGGAGACTGGACCCGGAACTAGGTAGACAATCACAGAGCATATATACGTCAGCAGCAGATAACATACATAACTTAGAAAACACACAGCAGAACAGAATTAGACTCGCAATTCTCAGCAATCAGATCAAAGCAGAAACTTTCTCATAAAAGGGCCTTTACCCGATATAGGCCTCAGGCCTTGTAAAAATAGAGCAGCACGGGCCTTGTAAAAGTAAAGCATTGTGAAAAGGTATCTTGCCAGGGCTCAGAAACGTGAAAACAGGTCCAAAGTCAAGTTCTCTATCAACAGGCACATCTAAATCTAAGGCAAAGGGCATTGTCAAAAGACTTACCTGTTCACCAGGAGATGTGTATGTCATGTCTGTTCGAGTAAGGGTGTGTCTGTACGTGTAGGCAGTGTACCTGTTCGTGCAATGGAAAGTGCCTGTTCAAGTAGTAAATGTGTCTGTTCGTTTAGAGTTGTGCCTGTCCGAAAGTGAAGTCAGTAGGCACAGTCCCAGTTCTGGTCTAAGTCAAGGGGTCAGTCCAGATCCAGACTTTCAAGTCCAAGTCCAGGCCGAAGTGCCTCAGCAGCAGTTGAATCTCATTGGGACTGTACTGGGACACATGCAATGCAGGGTCTGGGACAAAGGGAGAGRCTGAATTGASCYAATGYAGACCCAGCGAGGAGTGGCCAGCACTATAAAAAGAGCTGCCTGCCTCATTCCTCGCCAGATCTCCACTGGCTGCAATGCGTGGAAGTGCTGGTGCACTTGTGCGCTGAGTCAGGAGGAGCAGCACTGGAGGAGAAGACGCGCTGGAGGGAGGAAGATGCCTGTACGCTGGAAGTGATGCAGCCATAGCTGCCCAGCGAGTTAGCATTAGTAGTAGAGGGTTAGTATGTAGCTATGAGTAGTATCCAGAGTAGATCCTCATGATTATTGAAGAGTGTGTATGCATCATAGGAGGAAGGGATTGAGGCTGAGAGTGTTCATTCAAGGTTGGCTATGGAAGATACTTACCTGAGTTGGATGTGAC